GGCTATCCACTTCTTCCCCTCCTCCCCATCTTTCTGACAACCCTAACTCCCTCCCTCCTTCCCTCTCAATCCCTCTCTCTTACCCTTGACCAGAGTGAGATAGAAGCTTGAAAACTAAACTTTTGCCATTAACTTGAAAACGGTTTTATTAATATTAATAATTTTTATGTAGATTATATTTATCAATAGTAATGCCTTAGTGATTTTACTTTTCAGTAAAAATGGCCCCAAACCCCTCAAAAGAACCACTTAAATACAGGAAATTAAATTAACATGACACTTTGTTATTCCAAAACTCACATTTTTGATATTAAATACTTTTAAAATAAAGTTTTTAAAATAACCTTTAAAAACTGTAATATTTTTAGGAAATTAAAGGTTCAGATCAATCTTTCCAAACACCTGATTGCTTATAAGAGGCTATTTTACAGTAAACTAAGGGCCACACGCTTGCTTTAGTAGAACAAAATTTCCATACCAGTAAGTTAACTCTGGGTCAAGAAGTTTCATACACAACTGAGCACATTCACATCTGAAGTGTGTGTGTGCTAAACAGGAGACTGAGGTGTTTAAATGAACAGGGATTTCTGCTATGCTTTCCAACAGCAATAAATTTCATATGTCTCAAAATTAATTGTAGTTTAGCTCTTTGGTTATACAGGACATGCTACGTAAACAATATATAATCATTAAAAGGTCCACAAATAGAATGGCATTATCCTAGACTTGTATCTCAGCACTAGGCCAGTAGCCATGGACAACAAGAAGATGCATATAAATATGTGATTAGACAGATGGAGGGGAAATAGGTTGCTCCATTCCCCCTGCCAGAGGAGTACTGTTCCCTCCTCAACATCACTTATAGAAATACACTGGGCTTCTGAAAAGATGGAACTCCGTCTGCTGGCCTCCAGAAGGCTAATAAATATTGTTTCAGGCCAGTAAATTCTTATAGGGCTGTACCAACCTAACACTGAGTCTATAACTCACTTGCTTTGTCTAATTCAAGTGTCACCAAATCCACAGGTTTAGTCAGACTAGCAAGGATCCAAGTTTAATGTGATTGTGATGCCTAATGATGATTGTCACAGAAGACAAAGCTAACTATATTTCTGTAAGACGGTGAATTAGTTATTTGGATTTGAATTAAAAACAACTCACTTTTTCATTGATGTTTCTGGTAGTGCCAAAAATTGTTGATTTTTCAATACACCTCGAAAAATTTATTTAATTATTCTTCTGAATTGCCTCTTATTTGCCTCAATGACATGTTTGCGCAACCGTATCTGATTGGTTATTTCACATCATGTATTCTGTAATCCCTGACTGAGTGGGATTACCTATGTAACTAAGAATGCAACTACATGGTCAAATACCACAAGATTTACCCCATTTATAAAATGAGTGAATTCAAAGTATTTTTTACTGATCGCATGACGCAAGTTAAAGGCTGATTTGTTTTGGTCCAGCCCTTTTTGCTCTCAAACTGGCTTTTTTCCTCAGCTGCTGGGAGGCTTCTACTTTTTCAAAGTTTGGATAGTAGGTAATGTACTTCTTCCAGTATCACAAATTGAAGAATGTCAGGCAATACAATACTGTAGCACAATGGAGTAACTGCTCAAAGGCTCCCTTCTTGACAACTTTTACAAATGTATAGGACCCTATTCCTTACTGAAGATGGCAGGTGCCTCCTCTGCTGTTGGGGGGGGGGGTTTCTACGTTTTTCAAACTAGAATGATTCAAATGGGCTTTCCCCCATGCAGTTAGTTCTGATATGTTCTTGTAAAAATGGGGTATGTGTCTGTAGGTGGTGTTTCAGTGACATAGGCAGTTGGAGTGAGATGTTCAGACTCAGGAGGGAAATGCAAAACCAAAGCACTGTGATTTTCACTCCATAAAAATTATCAGAGTTTTCCAAAAAATTAAAACCTGTCTAGTACATAGTTTCACAACAGCTGCATCTTAATTTCAGTTACAACTCACATGCACATACCTAATCTTCAGCCAGTCTTTTAATCAGATATATAGTTTATTCCTATCAGTACTCTAAGAGTGCATATAAATATCACACAAATCTAACAAAAGCTGCTTTACTTATACAAGTTGCATGATCTTTGACACAACTCCCTTAGTCCTCACACTTTAAGCCAGTGTGTTAAAAAAATAGAGAAACCCTACACTCTAATGCAAACAGCCACACCTTTAGGAAATAGTTCAGGGCTATATGAATAAACAAAAGCATATATTAGTCATTCACTCAAAATTGGCATTGTCCACAGAAATCAAACTTTCAAACTTGAATAGTGAACATGCAATGTCCCCAGGACTATCCCTTCTTTCAATTTATTCTGACAAGAACAGTCAATCTCTATTTGCATGCCTGCTTTTGTACATAAGTAATCAGGGTTTGAAGTGACAGAACAAAATGAGCATAATAAACCACATAACTATCTTCTGAACAGCTTCTGTTCCTTTCTTGACTTTCCCATCCTGACCTTACAAACTGTGCAGGCTCTGATTTCTGCTTTACACATAGAGCCAGCTACCAAAATGTAGGCCTGGTTTTATTAGCTTCTCAAACACACTTTGCCAGTTCCATGCTTAAATCTTCAAAATGTTTTCTAAACACTCTGAATCATAATGAGAATTCCATTTACTGAAAAGGTGCAGCCTTCTATATAACAGCCGAACATGTTTAATGACTGATCCTTTTATACATTACAGCATCACTCATGTTTTCAGTAAATGGATATAATTTTCTCTGCTTTACCCTATTATTACCACTCGTTAGCATCACCAAGCTGCAATTTTAACTAAAGATATTTCTCCCCCCAGCAATTATCTTCTGTACAGAAGCAACTGGGCCAGATTTAAAAGTCATCTAGTCCTGCATATCATACTAAAAAGCAGCAATAGACATTTCAGAAATTGAGAGAGTGGAATGGGGTTTACAAATAGAACTTCCTTGGGAAATCAAATGAAGTCTGCTATGTACAAATCGACAATGCTATTGCTGATAAAATCAGCACATTAGCAAGAAGCAGGAATCCGCCCCAGCTATATAGTCTGCAGGAATGATATTTGTAACCTGAAGGCAGTTCAGCAGTGTCACTGTGTCTGTCATGTGCTGAGCCCTAGTCTTCATCAGGCATGTGGTTATGTGGATGAAGAGCCAATTCATTCACTCCTCAGATTGAGAATCTTCTCCACAGAGGGAAGAGCAGGCAGGCACCATCATTCTCTAAATAAATTAATGTGTGCTGTAACCACATGATTTGAGGCAGCTTCCTCCTTAAAACTGGAGGGGGGGGAGCTCCCTAAATCAAATCTAAAAACATGTCAGCCTATAGAGAGAGCACTCAGATCTCAGGCTCTCATGGAATAATTGGCAAGGGTGTGTGTCAGTTTCACCTCAGAGTTAGGCAAGTATGTGAAGAGCACCATAATGCCTAGTGCCACAATTAGGTGTATTATTGGATGTCATTCCCATAATCACAGCAGCAGTTTTTAGCTGCCAAAGTTATTTCAATTGCTGTTGAACTCATCCACAAATGCTGATACATGTTATATCTGACCATAGAAGTGCATAAATGAAAATAGCCTGGATGTAACCGTTCAGCTCAATTCCTTCAGTTTAGATCATAGGCAACATATTTCTGCCAGTGTCACAGGCTGAAGAATTTCAGGCAATGCAATACTGTAGAAAATAATGGAGTAACTATTCAAAAGCTCCCTTCTTGACAGCTTTTACATATAGGCCTCGATCTCTGAAGGTGACAACTGCCTTAAAACCACAACATAACACCAAATTTTTAAAACACAAAACAGCGTTGGAGACAGTCTTGCTCTAGACTGATTGAAATCACTGGCACTAATTTTGATGGGCTTACAGTTACCACAGTACTAACATGCACATACATGAAAAAAAAGTTTGATTAAAATCACTTCATTTTATTTCCAAGAGAACACATCCTGTAGAGTCCTAACTATATTTTTAGGAGTAATCCAATTGAAGCTGCAATAATGGAAACAAATGCATACTGAATTTTTGTAGAGACCCTTACAAAGGACAATTAAGGAAGGACAATTTGATTAAAAATATGCTCATCAATGTGAAAATACATAATATTAACCAACAATCCAGATTTACTCTTTTTAATGGTCAACAAACTTCAGTCAGCAATGTTTTAATAAAGTCACTGAAATTTCAGTAATTTCATTTGTTAAGCCTTGGTATAAATAGGAGTAACATTTCTACATTGTAGTAAATGTGAAATACTTGGAGAACTATTACCAAGTATGAACATTGCTAGTCTTTATTCTACAGACATCATTCTAAAACTTTTAAAATTCAAGTAGTGCTATGTGCATGAGTAGTTAGAAACATTCAAGTTGGCTGCAAAACTGACTGAAATGTGAAATGACTTCTATTTAATTAAATTGTGCAGGATGCAGCTTACTTAGTTCATAATTATTTTACATTAATAAAAGAAAATTAAATTAAATAGAAATATTTTAAATATTCTGCATGAGGGAGCGTACTGAATAATCATAAAATGTATAATTCTTTATATAACGAGCGTGATGTGTGATTTTGGATATATCACTTACAATTTCTGTATGCACACATTCAAATGCCCAGAAGGCTCTGTGTATAATTTTCCAGTCAAATACTGAAAAAGCACAAATCATGACATTACAGTTCTAATACAACAGTGGGTGGATCAACATTGTAGGGTAGCAGAATGTTGTTCAGATAGTAAAATTCACTGCATAAATGTACGTATATTTTATAAAAAGGTTACCATTAATATTATGCAATAATTTACCACAACACTACCAATGTGGTGAGTCTCATAAATGTTGAATCCTCAAACTTCATACTTAACTGAAAATGATTATAGCAAAAAGAAAATAGTGTGAGAAGAGCAACAAAGGATTCTACTCTGTGTGCAGGACTCGCTGTTAAGATACAACTTGGTACAATCAAAAATTCATACCTCTTCCACTTCTACCGACAAATCGCAGATCATTGAATCTTGCTACTTGATTCTTCATGGCAGCAGTAGCATTTCTAAGTTCTGCAGAGTAGTTTTCATCATTTCCAGCCATTACTGTGACTAACGTCCCATCAGGGACATCTCCCAAAGCCACCACCTAAAATATTAAATAAAAGAATCTTGAGTTTCTTTCAGGAAATTTAAATATGCATGCTATAAATCAATCAACATAAAGTGAGAGGAGAACTACATTGCACAATCAGGAAAAAGACACACAGGTGAATCCAGATTGTGTTAATTGCAGCACTTAGAACCCAATGCAATGAATGCAGCTTATGTCATGGCTAACTAACTCTTCATACTGTTATCAGCAAAACCTAAGAGTGTCAAACTTTACATCCAACAGATGAAAATTAAAAGTTGCAATGGCAAATAGGATGCAAATACTCTGCTTAATCTAGCATAGCTGTATATAGTAAAGAAATGAAATTCCTGAATTAAAGATTTTTTTTAAAAAAATGCTGGTGATTTCAACAGAATTGGCATAAAAACTGTTGTATCAGCAGGTGACATCTAAGAGTTTTAGCACATATGTAGTATTAGCATGGTGTGGCACCTTAGAATGTTAGAACTGATGCAGTGCCACTACATTGCAATGCTACCATGCCAGCAACAGACTCAGTGACTACTAATAGTTGTGTGCAAAGTCATAATTCTGCATATAAACGGCTATAGGAAGATACAAAACAAGACAAGACAAGGAAGGGATGGGATTACTTATATGGCCTTCCAAAACACTTTTGGCCACAAGACATTTATTTTCAGCAGCAATTTAGTACAGCATATAGTGCAATAGATGTAGATCTGGGCTCAAGCCATCCACCATGGGCAAAATATCCCCACTGAAATTAATGGGGCTTAAGGTAATCAGCAGTAACTTGTTTCACTGATTTCAAAGTCCACTTGAGGGGTTGCTCCAAGGAAGTCACTGAAGGGCACCTGGGTTATTAACAAACACACACAGAGAAAAGCTACAGCTACTTATATTCCTGCTTCTTGTTACGTGGCTGGAGCTGCCACCTACGTATCTGGTTAAGATTCTGATGTAGTCTGTGCACTCTGCTCTGAAGAAAATGTACAACAGCTTACCACTTGAGATGCTATACAGGAAAGACAGTGTACATTGCTTTCTTGCAAATGTCCCCCCCCCCCAATTTTGGGTTAAATCCCATTGTTAGTCTGAACTATAACAGACTCACTGATTGACTTGATAAAATTAACAATTATTGGATGACAACCGATATTATGTCAAACTTGAGTTGGCCTACTGAATCAGTGAGAATATCTATGCAAGTTCCATTGACTGACTAGGCCTATGCTAGCTGTGGTTTACTACCATTTCAGCGATTCAGCCTCATTGATTTAATATATTCACCTCTGTTAGGACTTATAACTGGATTTGCTTCTTAGACTCTAAAGCAGTTCTGCTGTGTGTGCACATATCTCTAAATCACTTCTCCCACCTACACAATAGGTGTAGTAGTATAGTAGTGACCTACCTCACAAAAGCAAAGTAGAACATAACTACAAAAATCTTTGTCTCTTACAATACAGTATAGATGATTAGTACAGTAGTAAGCTTATGTGTCTAAAAGCTTACAGAATGGTAGAGCTGCCATACTAGCATTACAGTGGATAGATGGTGTAACTTCAGGCATTTGTTCTGAGAAGATGCTGTTACAGATATATTTTTCCAAAGACGGTGCTGGTTAAGCAAGTTTTCTCTTTCTTATTCTCATATAACCACCTCCCTACCCCACTGAATGTTACTATGGCTATTCCAACTTATGATGTAAGTTTCATTGAAGAATAATTCCACTGCTTTTGCTTGGTATAGTTGAATTTATCTTAAATTACAAATACTTTCATCCCTGCACTGGTATGATAATGTCCTACAACTAATTTAATTTATATATGAGCATTCCCCCAAATTCCAAGTTCAAAAGGCTATCCTTAGTGGTGCCCTATCTCCCGCTTCTTGTGCTTTAATCCTCAAATATATTCTGTTGGGGAAGGGTCCCCAGTGTGATCTGTCACCATATTCTTGTTTCTCATCAGCTCCAGAAATGGTTTGCCTCCTTCTGGTCATACTTTACTTCCATCATGAATACACTACAGGGAAGCCCAGCTGAAATTAATAACTGTTATTTTCACCTAACGTGCTTAAAATCTGTTAGCTCCGCAACTACTAAAAGTCCAAAATGTCCTTTTATGTATGAAGTTACCTTTTATTTTGCCATACAGTATTCTATTTCTACCAAATAAACAAAACAAAACAAAAAAAATTCCCTCTTTTTCTGAAAGCTCATTTGGGTGGACATTTCTGCTTAATTCTAAACATTCTGCTTCCCCCCCCCCGTCCCCTTGTGTTCTTTCCTATCAAGGGAAAGCCACAGTCAACTCACTTTTTCACATTCACCTTCTGATTGTTGTTCTTTTCACTATTTTTTTTTTTAATTGCATCAAGGCTGCTCAAATGTTTATGGAAGAATCATGCTCCAGGCAAAAGCTGGATGAGAAAATAAGGCACAGAAAATTCTGGGATATGATGAGAAATGGAGTGTAGAAAACTTTAACGTATGAAAGTACACTAGATTTTACACTTGAAAAGGTAAATAATTAACTTCTGGGGGTGGGAACACCTCTGCAAATATTTTGCTATTGCCTAAAAGTTTTCTATTCTTTCATCTATTTAATCTCAGAGGGCAAGCCCATTGCACGAATTACTGCTCTGTATTCAGGTTATTCCTCTTTGGGTAAGTATGCCAGCAGTTCTGGAGCTCTTCCTCCTGAAGCCCTAAAAAACTCATAGAATAAAATATCAGGAGAACAGACCTAGGTGTATCATGCAAAGGTCACATCACAGATGGCATTTTTAGCCAATTGGAGCTGGATTTCCAGTTGGATATTTCAGGCTTTGCGGCAGGTGATAAAACTGAGAACCAAGTTGCCATTGTCAAATGGGTTGGTAAATGAAAATTTAAAAGGCAAGGGAACTCATGGGCTTCAACTCAGTTCCCTGACAATATGATTTCTTATCTTTTATAGAGGAGAGTAGCCTCAGGCTGCATCCTATACACACTTACTAGAATGGATGCCACAAAAAACATCTGAACTGACATCTGAATGAAAATGCTTGGGATGCAACTCTAGGCATATTTAATAAAAAGTAGACTTACTTTAACCATTTGTGACATACTTCTGAATACATATGATATAGTGGCATCCCTCTTAACCACACTTACTAGAAGAATGGGGCTCTTCCCAGTGAGACGTCTGCTGAAAAGAGGAAATCTGAACCTATATCAAAATGCATAGGTTCATACTCTTATTCACTGTTTCTCTTCCTATTTAAAATGTTGCATGATATCAACAACAATTAGACATTCCTGCAACAGGGCTTCAGATCAACTTTTCAAATGAGCAAATCAGCTATGCTACTGGAGTATTAGGCAAGAAAAAGAATACATTTTAAAGAAATACTGTTCAACCCTCTGAGTGACTCTCTCATGTGCCTACCAGTGGGGGGGGGGAAATCAAACTAAAGGGAGAAAAATGTCTTTGCAAAACCTCCACAGAAAAAGTATCTTTTAAATTCACTATGTTTACAATTTGATACAGGAAACTCTAGTGAGGCAGTTAAGAAAAAGAAATATGTGGGCTCAGGAGAAAGCCATGGGTAGGTAAGGCTGTAAAAGCAGCAAAGAAACACAAACATTTACATTATAAAACAGACTAAACAGATAAGCAAGAACTTGCTGACTGGAGATAGCTGGTATTTTGCCAGACTGCTCAGTTTATAAAAAATATATTTTATACAAGTGGGATGGAATATAATCCATTCAAAACCTCAACACAATTAGATGTTACTGTTTTACCTCATTCATCACACACAAAGTGTATAAAGTAGAGATGAGATTGATTACTACGAACTGTAAAAATTTCTTCCAGTTTACAAAATGTTAGTAACACAGGGAATTTTCCTTATTATACATCTTCTATTTCAGAAGAAAACTCTGGGTTTCTGAAATGATTTTGGCAAAGTCACATAAAATTGTATCCATAAATACATGAACTGCTGACCAACTAAATTTAAACACTCAGACTTAGAATCATTTAATTCTAATGAAATTCAGTGCCCTGCATTTTTTTTTTAAAAAAATAATTTTGCACTGTGTGGCTACAATAGAAAAGCATCAACAGAACTGGCTGCAGCAGCAGTAGAATTAACATGTTTTGGCACAAGATTATGGGCATTCCCACAAAATTAACAAGGATTTACTAGCTGGAACAGCTTTATTTACAAGTAAATCATGCTGAAATCAGCAAAGCTTAATTCCAAATAAACATCTGTGATCCTAAGAACACCTTTTTTTTGGAAATAAGTATCATAGGAAATATTTACTCCCAAGTAAATTCATTTCAAATTAGGATGTAAATTTAATTATTCCCATTTAACAAGGCCAGGTTTGGGGGGGGGGAGAGAAACTTTATAATTCCTTTTGAAACCAGGGTCAGCTGAATCCTTAACTCTAATAGAACTTTCCCACAAGAAATACACTATTCATCTCCAGCATTAGAACATTACACTTCAAATGTTTGCAGAAGCTGACGTTTAAAACAATAATGTCAGGCCAGTAATTTCTCCAAATTGCTTGAACTCTCTCAATGCCAGCATCACCACACCACTGTTATTGTGGGAAGTGTTCGCTTATACCTATAAGATGGAGTTTGTATGTGCAATAAAATACAAGGCAAATCCTGTAACAGTAACTTCTAGACATTTATTGCTTTGGGGTGCTTTTTGCAAGGTGGGAAACCAAATACCCTTCCATGAAGGATAAGAAGAAGGAAAGGAGCACATACCTAACCACTCCATGAAGATTAACATATACTATCCTGTGTTAGCTCTTCTCTCTATTCCATGTGTTTTATTTTCAGATTCAGAAGTAGATCCTAATGAATTCATTGGGATTTACTTTTGAAGAGACACATACAAGTTTGCGCTGCTCCTCTCTTCACTATTGCAAAGTGTTGACCTATTTATTGCAGAGTAACTCTTCCTTGGAAAGGGAGAGAAAGCCCGGGAACTATAAACCACTTTACAGGGAAAGAAAGCGGGGACGGCACCTACTCCCTCATCTTGGCATGGTTTGGCGGGTTGCTTTCCGCCGCCATCATATGGCCAACAGGGCTTTTAAAAGCACACATACACAAAGAACTAAACATGCAGTTCCTAATAACCTTAAAAAGCAAAATCGGCCCGAGTGAGTTTAGTTCTGGCAGAAGTACGGATTTCGAATGAAATAAAGGGGTTGCTTAAAAGGGACTGGAGGCAGGTCGCGGCTAAATTGAAAAGCTCCCCTCAAACGCAAGAAGACCAGTTGCAGCCCTCCCGACAGCCTGCAGGGAAGTGAGAAAAGTGAAGCCTCGCTAGAAAAAGCAGGCAGCACGAGGAAGCCTTGCGGGGATGCTGGTTTCGTGAAACTAACTCGGAACAGAAATGGCTTGCGAAGCATCGGGTCTGGCTTCCTCACAGAGCCACTTCCCCCGCTCGGCTGCAACGCAGCTAGAAGCGTCTGAAGGTCTGGCAGTGAAAAAGAGACCGCGAGTAGGACGGGGTCCCCATATGGGAGTGAGATAGACCTCTGACTTTAGGATCCAAGGAGGTTTAGGCATCGTTCACTCCGGAGACAGGGAGACCCGCCAGATTATCCAAACCCACCGCCCACACCGATTAAACCCGAAGGGTTCGCACCGCGGCCGGCTTGACTGGCGACCGCTACGAAGCAGCAGACGGGCATGGGGGGTGGGGGAGGCGATGACACGCCGACAAAGGGCCTGGTGCAGATTCTGCGGCCTGGCCACACGCCACAGGGTGCCTTCCCCGGAGCTGCCCGATCGGCCCTTGGCAGTAAGTCTCGCTTGTTCAATGGGACCTATTTGCAGCGAGCAAAGGATAAAGGGGGTCGAACACTGGGCGGCGGGGGGGGAGGGGGCTACGCAGGCGGGGAAGCGCGCTTCTTGGGAGATTCCGGCCCCACCCCCGCAGCCCCCCACCCCCGATGGTGGAATCACGAAGGAGCCAAGAGCAGCTTGAGAAATGCTGGTCCGCAGGTAAGAGAGACGCGGATCCCGTGGCCAGAAAAGGACGGCGCCCGGGGCCCTCCTTGACGCCAAGCTGTTGGACGGAAATCAAGCAGGCCCTGAAGGGCTAAAAAGAAGACCGCCCCGGCTTAAGCCTGCGGTAGTTCTTGGCGATTCAGGGCGCTGAGGAGAGAGAGAGAGAGAGTGACCCACTTGAGAGTTTTCCCTCTTCTGTAGCCAGAGAAGAGGCCCGAAGACAGGCAATAACCTAAAAAGACAAAGGTCAAAGGTCTGACACTGGAGCGATCGTGGCCAAGGGAGGGTCTCTGTGGGATTGCAGCCGGACAGCTGGATCTACAAGTCACTTGCCTTCACCGGACCTGTTTTGACTTAACTGTTTGGTTGGCGGCTGCTTTCAGGCTAAGCCACGCTTCCTTTGAGCGACACGGAAATCGAAGCGTGTTTATGTCCAGCTGAAACCCTAGTTGAGTCTATTCAGCTCGAAGTCCTACATACACATTTGCAGCCGTCGAACCATTTAAGACTCAAGGTATTTTTGTGCGGGGAGGGGGACGAGAGGGAGGAGGGTCTCAAAACGCCATAGACTTCGAACGCCTTCCAGGGATTTTGAAGGTTGGCTCCGGGATACAGACTCGGGAACTTAAAACCCCACCAGCGCTGGCTGTAATTATTCCACAACTCTGTTCCCTATCTTTTCACGTGTTTTTCTAACTGCACTTGAACTTGAAGTTGGTCCCAGCTTCCCATGATGATATCCTCCACATTTGGGATTAAAAACCAAACACAGCACAACACAACACCCCCACCCCACCCCCCGGTCACCGCTGAGCTGTCGGCTAATCCCTTCGGTTTACACCCTGGGGGGAGGTCGGGCTGACTTCCGCGAGAAAGAGCCGCTTGCAGGTGTTTCTGGGTTCAGCCCGGCTGCGAAGACAGGACAGCGCGCAGCCCGGGGCTTTCACTCCCAGGAGGTTTGAAGAGGGGCAGCGGAAAGTACTGTAACGGCAGCCCTCCCACTCCTTTTTCTCTAGCCAGCGTTTCTCTGGTGCGTCTGGTTTTAAAACCCCACCCTGCGGCATGGAGGCGGCAGCGACACCTGTTCTGGACGTTCCCCTTTCGAGTGGGGTCTTTCAGTTTATAGGAGCAGACGAAGCCCACAAAACAAAGCAAAGAGTCCTGATTTTGCGGCCTGCTTCTTTCTACTCATGCTTCATCCGAAGGTAAGTCAGCCTTTGCAATGAAAGCGATGGGGCTTCCTCTTCAGTAAACGGGTTTACGTTATAGCACAAGGCTCATGAATGAAACGAAGGAACTGGGAAGCGAATATCCTCACTGTGAAGTTTCAACTCCTAAAAGATCCGTGACGGGACCACCGTCTATGAAATCTATCTATGAAACAGGAAGCCTTTTCCACGTTCGGCAAAGACTATGAAAATCCTTTACAGTAGGTAGGGAACCCAAAAAATAAGAAGAAACCCGACAACACCCTCAACCAGAATCGGCCTCCTCTCCTAGTGGGCGACTAGACCTGGGACCTTTCATTCTGTCTAAGCAGCCTTGCCCTTAAAAATTAGAATCCGATCCTAACCATCCTTGGGAATTTAAATCGACTATTCGGGACTTCCAGGTGAATAACTGAACCCCAACCGACTTAAACTGTACTGCAGAGCTTTAATAGTTCCAGGCAAGTTTAGCTGGGACAAGGCCTAACTTAGAAAAGCTACTTTTTTGGATTACCTCGCTCAGAAACCCACAGGCAGCACTCTCTCCCCTGGCTGGGGTAGAATCCTTTCACATACATTCAAATAAATAATGTTGGTGAGATCTGCACTGGTGTGTAAACAAAGCTCAAACCCTATGGGCAGCGGGGGGGGGGGAACCACAGGGGACAACAGGACTGCCGCAAAATGCTTTGCGGAGACGCTACTCTAGTCACAAACCCGCCACAAAGAAAGGTTAGGAAGGAAGGCCTTTGAAAATTTGTGTGTGTTTGGATCCTGCCCAGAGCTTCTGCTTTAACAGCCACAGGAATGGGGAGGTTAATAGCATTTTGACACTATCTCCATCATCATCATCATCGATGAGAAGGGGAGGTAGGAGAAAACCTTGGCCGCCTAAACCCAGTTCTCGGATCCACCTTTCCGCGGAAGAGTCTCCCTCCAAGATGTAGGTGCTTACTCACACATGTCACTCCTTGTCCTCCGAGGCCCCCTCGGCAGGACGTCCCTTTGATCCCTTCTGCCGCCGCGTGCCTGCGGCCGCCCGCCACCCACCTCCCCCCCGAAGGCATTTATTTCAGAAGCAGCCCAAGTGGATTCCGTGCCGTTCCCACTTCCTCCACACTGCGTGCTTCGGGCAGCCTGGAGGGCTCGAGGCCAGGGTGCTCAGACCGAAAGGGCACGTTGTAGTGACAGCCGCCTTCTCTGTAACGGCAACCCTCTCGGGGGCTCGGGCAAGTGCTGGTAGAAAGCACATCCCGGGCTCCAGCCCTGGGCGATGGCCGGGCAACCCTCCCATCCTGCCGACTGCCGAGCTTCTAGTGAAGTAGAATCCGGATCGTGGCCGGAGAAGGCCGCTCGTGGTTGGGACAGGGGGGCGCCCCTCCAGTTTCGGCGGTGAGGAGCCCCTGCCTTCCGGCCCACAAACCTACTGGGAGAGCATTCTCAGGATCAGTACTCCCACAATCTTGATTGTGAAAACATTCGGAGTATACTCGCCTGACTGGTAAACTTGAAACACAGACCCCGGAGGAAAACATAATTTGGCTTGAAAATAGACGAAGTCGCTTTTAAGGAATAGTCAGGTAAAGGGACACCCAACACACTAAGTGACAATCGTGCAACTGGAGAATTTAAGTTATAATTCTAAACAGAATTGCAAACGAGTAAGTCCCGGTGGACACTGTGTGGTCTACTTCGGAGCAAACATGCATAGGGTTTAAGGCTACCATTCTTTGCACCTTTTATGGGGAAGTTCAATCTCACAGCACTTAGCAAGGTTTATTCCAAAATAAACATGCCATTATGGGCGTTTACAATTTACTTGGAAGTAAATCTCACTGGTTTTTAAAGGGACACACATAGGAGCTTGAAGCCTAACCATCATTCTATACCCATTAAGCTAGAAGTTCCATTTCGTCCCATGGGACCTGCATCTTTTTAAGGCCTTTTCAGTTTCTCAAAACCTCATTTCAATCCACGCATCTCAGTTTTGCAGTCTACAGGGTTCTGAAATCCGGAGTCAAACTCTGGTTATTGGCACTTTTAGGCTGTAATCCTAATCCTACCTAAAAGCAAGCCTCATGGGCTTTGATGGCCCGTATTTATGACCTGCTCTGAGACAGCCTAACAGGGCTTCAAGCTTGAAGTTACAGAACTTTAACTAGGAGTCCAATTAATACCAAATACATTTACAGTATTTTAAGAGGAGACGTAGGCTGACTATCTCCCACAGGCTCACTCCTGTGGGCCAAGGCTTTGGCTATCCTCTGTCCCAAACACTACCAATATACACCCAGACAATCCCACCTCCACACCACCCCTTCTCCCCGCCCGCATACCTTGAAGGCGATCGGCAAGGTCTTGTTGCACCTCCAGTGGGTCGGCAGGACTGAGCAGAGGAAGTTGGGGCTGTCGGTGCGGACCAGCTCTCCCGGGTGATCGGCTAAGACCTCCACCATGCTGCGGTCGGCGCTCCTCAGCTTTCCCACCAGGGCACCGGTGCTGTTTTCTTGGCCCACCAGCGGCAGCGTGTCGCTCATCTTGCCCGGACTCAGCGTGGTAGAGGGCGGCGTGAAGCGGCGGCTGGTGCTGGTATCTACGGGGATACGCATCACAACAAGCCTTTTGAGTGAAAAAGCTCCACAGGGGGCTTCGGGCAAAGCGAAACAAGCGCGATTCTTCAGCCGGCGGTTCTCGGGAGACCAACATAAAAGGAAAGAGGCTTAGGGCCCCGGAGCAGGAGGGGCTTGTGAAGCGAAGCCAGTCCCGAAGTGAATTCGCATCAACCGTCGGACAGAGGAGGGGGACACTCAGTTTCCTGGTCCTGCCCCAGTTAATCCAAGCATCCAGTTTCAAGCTGTCCTGGAAATGTTTCCGTGTCTCTTTAAAAAGCTCAAAACAGACGAATCGCACACTGCTATAGATATGGACAAGTTCCTTCCCCCCTCCCTCGGGAATTACCAGCGCCGTTAAAAATCAAAGGCCCTTCCGAGATCCCACACACTGAGAGAGGTTTTGAGCAGAGGAAACTCAAGACATCCGTTCAGAGCCCCACACACGCGCAGAGACAAAAGGAGGGAAGGCGCTCTCGACTTGACTGACTTCTCAGTACAGTAGTTAGCTTGCTATCGGGTAGAAGAGCAAGTTTCTCCCCCACCCAACCATCCTAAATCGAGACTCCGGATTGAGCGCGTTCACAGTCTGTGCTCGTGGACAGAGGAGAAATCAATTAACAGCGAAGCGTGGAGATGGGCTTCAAAGGACGTGACCTGAGGTTTTCAAAGGTCAACCGGCTATCACAGCATTATAAACTGTACTTCATCAAATATTTACAGTCGACTCTATAGAGAGTTTAAACACAAAAGAAATCCATTAATATTCTTCCCCAGTATCTTATTATTATTATTTTTCCCCCTTTCCTCCTCCGCCGCCGCTTTCCCACAGCAGCCTTGAAACCCGGTCCCAGCAGTTGGCGATGCGCTGGTCGCTGTTTCCTCTTGCCGTCCTGCTTCCTTTCGCAACGCTTCGGACGAGGGACGCGGGGCTGAAAGGCTCTCTCGCTCCAGTCCGTCCCCCGGGGGTGCCGCTTAGCGCCAAGGAGCTGAAGCGCGCGC